GCTCACCGCGCAGCAGACGCACAGAGCCGCGCTAGCGACAGCCGCCGAGAAGCGCGCGTCACGCGCCCGCAGACGCACGCCGAACCGCGCTGCGACAGCGGCCGCAGGAAGCGCGCGTCACCGCGCCGCAGACGCACAGCAGCCGGGCTGGCGAACGGCGGCCGAGGGAAGCGCGGTCACCGCGCCGCAGACGCACAGAGCCGCGCTGGCGACAGCCGGCCGAGGAAGCGCTGCGTCACCGCGCAGAGAGTGCCGGCCGCTCTTGCGCGAGTCTGGTGATGTGTGAAGCGGAGCTATGGGGGGGAGGGGGGAGGGAAATGGGCTCAGCAATACCAGTTGATGTCGGTGGAATGTCCTGAACATGAACACTGCATTGAGCTAAATGACCTGTTTGGAAGATTACGCATGCTACAGCGCGCAGAGCTCTGGCTGGCGTGTGGGCGACTCCGCTCGGCGGTGTGCGTCTCTGTCTGCCCCCGCGCATGCGCCTGGCCTGCCCCACTGTGGCCCGTGGGCATGCCGCAGGTATGTCGACGAGCTGCCGTCGGCTGGCACTGAGCACCGCAGGCTGGCATGTACTCAAACAGCCCGCCTGTCCGTCCCCTTCGACACAGACAACTCGCTGTTAGGTCCGGTCAGTGGGTTCCGAAGTTTGCTCGAGACGCCGCTGCATGATAAGTCATCGAATGAATAACGGCGTGAGAGAGTTGCGTTTCTTAAATACTCCCGCGCTACCACTGTCATGAGTTGTGTGCTGTAAGAAAATTGCTTGCGAGTTCAGGGTTACCTCTAATCTGATAGGTTTCCTGGCGTCACTACTCTATCCTGTACGCTACGGTACGCGTTCTGACATTTGTTAGTTGTTGCTTGTTTTTCTAGAACGATCGGATAGTCTGCGTCAAACCTGTTCCGCTTTCCGACATGTGACAGTTGTGGAATGAAAAGCGATAACTGTTGTTCGAATGAAGGTTTCTTAAACGCTCCAAGAATCTCTCTCGGCTCTACTAACAAGAGCTATAAACTGAGCCATCTCTTCCCTCGGAGCGCTCATAAACTCAACAACTTGACAAGGGCTCTCAGACTCACGTATGAACCATTGGGACTCAAAAGAGTGTGTTCCTCAGATTACAATGTGTCGTCATCAGTGTGTGGAAATGAAATCCGGATTTTTGTCTTAAAGTAGGCATTATCCAGTGGTAACACATTCCAACCAAGAAAACTCAATGACTTCAAACCTCCGCAGTGAGGTAGCCGGTGGAAAGACCTTCCCAACTGATATGTAATTTTAAGCATCACCGCACATTATCACCGATGAATGCCGTCGGCCGCGGAGCAACGCTCTTCCTTGGCACAGCTGAGAAGATTTGGTAAATACGCGACGAGCCCTCGGTATGCAAGCTGTAAGTTATTGCCCAACTGAGCATCAGCGCAAGTGACATTCGATGGGTCAAGCGGTGGGTGGGTATTGAAACCTAAGGTGTGTTAAACTACGTCATGAATGGTCAAAAGTCCTTATCATGAAGTTGACATCGTTGGTGTACATTTGAAATTGTCATACTGCATGACTTGTGTGTTCAGTTACGTGGACTTGGATCACCACGGGGCATGACTAGATATCACACAAGCAATCATAAAGAGCATTCCCATGTAATTCATATTTCACAACCCACATCGCCCAAGCCCGAATGTGAATGCGGCCGATATGACTCACACAGGAAGGTGATCATTGGTGGACTGCGCAAGGTGGAGAGATAAGTTTTAAGGAATGGTCGAGATGAAGCATACGTATTACAGATGGAAAAATCGCTCAGACTATCGTCCACGTCTGCCTATCATTGCATATCACTGTATCTATGCAACCATTGGGCTAGTTCATTCCCCTGCCCTATCAGGAGTTTTCATGTCCTGGAAATAAGTGGTCGGTCTTTACCTTTCAGCTATGTACGCCACGTAATTCCATTCCTCCCTCCAAAATATAGAACATGCTTGAAAACCCACCAGCCACAAATTTAGCCGTCACATGCATTTTACGGCTCTCCAGCCATATTCCAGAAAACCTCCCGTCTCCTCTGGAGGCAGCTCTTCCGCCGATGGTTTAAGTAAACAGACCCGCTGGCCGGCCGCGCTGTCAGGATATCGCCTAAAAATTGACGCGATGGGATGTTGGGGGTCGTCCTTTCCATGAAACTGGTACCCCGCCCATGAAAGCGGCGTTCGCGGCGCACCGGCCGCGCGGCGCGCCGAGGGTGGGCCGGTGCGTGTCATCAGATCCGCGCAGTGGACCGTCAGCCATGACGTCACGGCCTCGTGACCGAACCGGGGACGCAACATCAGACACATTGCCCGGCCCGGGCGCGGATGCCAGCGGAGACCGACGGACGCCGAGGCGTGCGGCGGCCGTGCGGTGCCGCGCTGTCCGCGACGGGACCCGGACAATCGGGCCGGACAGTGAGCGCGCTACAAGAGCGCCGGGCCCGACGCGGCTGGTTGTCAGGGGCCCGGCACGGGATCTGGCGACAAGGTCCGCTGCCGAGGCAGGCCATCGTGCTGCGCGAGACCGATGGGTAACCGACGGGAGAGGGCCGCCCGGCAGGTAACGCAGCGGACGCGTTTAAAGCATCGCAGGAGTCACAAACTGCTTTAGGACCTAGGGTTCAGGCGAGGCTCTGGAACCAAACGAAATACAAATGGTCCACACAAGGAAACTCAAGGAAACCCCTTCCTCGCATCTCCACCTGGCTAGCCCACCGATGGACCCCTGCGAACTCAACTGCGACTCCGACCGACAAACGAAATCACGGAAATCGATTCCGCCCTGAATAAATGAAAATACGCTCCATACCGAAGTCGACCCGACTCCAACCGCAGCCGAGCGGCAGGTGGAGGGCGACATTGGATATTGTCTTTCGTCTCCCATACAGGATGCCCCGACTATCCAACAATGAAATCGCCCTTGTTGCTCAGTTATTCGACTGGTTTTAACGCCGACGTATCGAGGGTTTCGGCGCAGTATTATAACGCGAGTTACCCCTGTGGTGAACTCTGCCATGGTGCAACATTGAAACGATCAGGGACGTTGCGCCCACATGCCGAATACCCGGGTGTGTGCTTCTGTTGCTCCCTAGCTTGGGTACAGGCGAATCACGCGATAGTAAAGACGTTTACACGCATGAATCACGTTATTATAATTTACAGCTCACGCCACCGCCATCACAGCATCCGGCTCATGCCTTTGATCTCTTTTATTGTTGTTTATTGGCGCTTTATGGTTCGCCGACAGCAATGGTCATGTTAGCTTTGATCTCGAATAGAGAGCATTCGGAGTCGTGTGTGGCGTGGACCTGGGCATATAAGTTGCTGCCGGTGGCGGCACGCTCTGGGGCTACCCGGAAAAGGTCGATCAGGGTGGTCTCCGGTAATTTAAGGGCCCTAGAGATCAAAGTGTTCGTTGATTGCCACACATTTCAAGCTGATGTTTGCCAAATGCTGTTTATTTGCGTGATGGTGTTCTGCGGTGCTTCTAGCTGGAGGGGTAGTGGGAGGTGGGACAGTGAGGTGAGAAGTGAGGTGTGGCGGTGGGAGGGGGGGGGGGGGGGGGGGGGTGCTACCATCTTTGCAAAGATAGCATTAACTCTATGACAATGAATGGAAAGAAACCGCGTCAAATCGTTTCTGTCTTCCTCCTGTCTTTTCCTAGACCGAAACCCGCCTTGTCGTCAGCTGTCATTATTAACAAAGTAAATCGGGCATGTTCTGTTTGGTAGCGTCAATAATCCATTTCGCATCTGCGAGACCAGATACGCCATGGTCATATTTAAGCTCAAGGGCCCATTGAATGCACTGCTTATATTTGGAACCACGGTTGCCAGGTAACAAACTCCAATCCTTGGCCAAACTGATCTCCAAAGTGGGGCGAATTTGGCATTTTCGTATTAAATAAGGCGTTTAAGAAGTCGAGTCTCGTGGGTTACGAGCAGCTTAAAGCT